AGAGCACAGGTGCTTCCCGGCGGCCGCAAAGCAGTACCTGCAGCAGCAGCAGCAGCAGCAGCAGCAGGAGACGCAGTGACCGGGACGGGCGCAGCGATATGCTCTCGCGCCTCCACACAGCCCTGTCAGCCTGCTCCAGGTCACAGCCAGACACTGGCCGTGCCATCAGCTGGGGCCGCCTGCCACCGGGGGCCAGGCGGTAAGAACTCTGGCACCATGCACAGGCCAATCCACAGGGCCGCACAGGCCAGTGAGTGGACACCACAGCAGCACTGAGATACAATTAGAGTTAGAACAGTGGGACTGGTCAAAAGGATAGGCTGGGCGTACTTGTAAGAGGACAGCCTACAAACATGTCTAACTGAAGGTGTACCTATAAACACATTTAGCTTGAACTCCTGCCTTAAAGAAGGATGAACAGGAGCCAGGGAGATAGCTCCGTGGAATAAGCACCTGCCTGACAAGCGCAGGGTCCCGAGTTGAATCTCCAGTACTGAAAAAAAAAAAAAAAAAAGGGCTAAACAAGTCATTTATAGCTAGACTTACCTCGAAACCACAATTTTAAGTGAAACATATATACACACAAGTTTAAATATCACATTTCTCTTGTGTGAGAAGACCAAAGCGTAAATAAGCAAAACAGTGGACAGATACTGCAAAACAGGGAGAGCACATTCAAACGGGACCAGGAACAAGGGAGGGGGCGGCAGAGGGGAGGGAAGAGAACAGGGTCTTTAAGAAAATGAAAGGGGAAAGTGGAATCAAGGCTCTTCTAGGTGGGCAGGGGGAGGAGGCTGAAGGGAGGGACAGCAAGGGGAGACAAGGAGGAATGAGGATGCCGCACACAGGAACTCACTCCATGCAGGGGCCGTGATCGCTATGTACGGCAGGTATGCACGCACAATGTGAATTTAAAACAAAGAAAACAGTTCTAGTCCTAAAGCAATCAAGAATAAATGTGAATGAACTGGCTCACCAGCAAACTGACAAAGACTCCCAGAGCGAAATTAAAGTAAGGCTCAGAAACAGGCTGCTTAAAAAAAAAAAATACTTGAGCAAAAGGATATGGAAGGGATAAAGAGAAGCGAACAGGCACATGCTGTGAAACAAAGATGAAGCAAAACATTAAAAAAGCCAGGTTAGGTTTTTATTAACAAACAAAATACATTTGGGGCAAACTGCATTCTTATAAAGGGCAAGAAATGTTACAATAAATCAAAAAGTTGAATAATCCCAAATACATATACAGCTAAATTCAAAGATTTAAAATACACAGAACTGAAAGAGATTTATAGAAGAAATAATCATAGTTGAATTTAAAATATGCTTTTCACAGTTGGTAGATAAGTAGACAAAAGCTAAGTCATGCTATAGAAGATACTCATGTGTTTATATTATTTACATATATGAAAAACAAAAATTCCACCCTCACAGAATATACATGTTTTTCTTTTCTTTTTTTTTTTTTTTCAGAACCGGGGATTGAACTCAGGCCCTTGCGCTTGCCAGGGAAGCACTTATTCTACTGAGCCATCTCCCCGGCCTGTATTCTAAGCATACAAGGAATATTAAAACTGTGTATGAGTTATGAAAAACCCTCAAAAATTCTAAATAACAGGCATATATGTGGAATATACTTTCTGATAGTATGCAATGAAGTTGGAAGCCAATAGCAAAGTACAACAAAATAAAGTTCTGTGTGTCTGGGAAGTAAAAGAAAACACAACACACAATACTTGCTGTGGCAAAGAGGAAATCACAAGAGAACTGACACATAAACGACCACAACATTCTTTTCTTTTTTCCTTCTACTGTATTTAGGGTCTACAGGGTCTCACTATGTAGATCAGACTCGTAGTGATCCTCCTGTTTTCAGCCTCCCAAGTGCAGGGATTATAGACGCGCATCACCATGCTCCGTCTCAATCACCTCTCAGCACGCCTGGGGCGGGGCTGGTACAGCACAGCACACTGGGGATCAAATCCTGGTTGCTCCGCCTGCCTAAGCAGGTACTCTACTCCTCTGAACTATCTGGCTGGCCCAATGACAACCACATTCTAAATGTAAAAACCGGACATGTAGCTAAAGCAACATTTAAAAAAATAGCTTTAAATACATTTATTAGAATAATGAAGGTATTAACATTTGCGTACTAAAGGCAAGTGATCAAAAACAACACAAGAGAACAGCAGAAAAATGAATATATTAGTAGGAAAGAATATTTTTTGTTTAAAAAACTAATTTAGGCTGGGGAGATAGCTCAGCAGCTTAGGTGCCTGCCTGGCAAACACAAGGTCCTGAGTTCGGTCGCCAGTACCACATGCTTTGCCAGCCCCAGAACCCAGTGTGATGTGCTGCTCACTGAAACTGGGCATGGTGGTAAATGCCTGTAATCCCAACACTAGGGAGGCTCAGCTAGGAGGATCACTATGAGTCTGAGCTGTGTAGTAAGACCCTGTATAAAAACAAACAAAAAAAAA